TTTTTTTAATGGGTGCGGCGGTTTCCTGATGGGTTTGTCAGAGCTGTAGATAATAGCGTGTGGTTGTGTGAACTGTAGCATAGGTTTGGCTAATCACTGTACTCAATTATGTATTTATATGTATATGAAACTACAAATAAATATTCAGATTAGGCATTAGAAGTCTGCCATGTAAAATGTAGCAGTTTAATTTCACTTGAGACTTTAAAAGGATGAGAAGCAAGTGCAAACATTTTAAGCACACTGAAACAGACCATAGTGTATAAATATGGCCAATAGCCTTTAAATAACTGACCTCATTAGGTTTTCATTGCATGAAAATTGGCTCACACCGTTTGTTTCTGAACAGACAAATGAGCACTCACTGTGATAAGGAAAAACTGGAATTTTTAGCTGAAATGTTTGTACTTTGGTGGGATGGGTGATTTCATGCATGACTCTTAAATGATTCATATACACGTTTCGCACAGTTGCATTAGATGGTGTATGTGTACCTTTAAGAGTCGAGCTGTGCAAGAACTAAAAGAGGCCACTGCGGCTCAGCAGCCACTGGGACATGCTGTTGTATCTGGGTCCACTAACGCCAGCGAGGGAGGGAGGAAATGATAACGAATAACTGTTCTCAGCCGAGGCTGCCTCCCTGTGGGCACTAGCAAAGCATGCTGGGAGGGACTCAGACCCCTGCAGTGAGCAAGAAGGAAACCCCTCACATGCACTGAGTGTTTTAGCCCCCGAGCTGTGAGTGGACAAAAACAATGGTGCTCTGAATCATTTGTCACACATCATTGTGCTGTAGTTATGTCACACTGACTGTTGTCGTAAACAATCTTTTTTCCCTCTGGGTGCTCAAGAACAGTTATTCTTGTTTTTCACTTTTTACCCGCTTCCTCTCTCAAATCATTGCCTTCAGCTGACCTGAGCTCATTAGAGTTTTTCATTAAATAAATGCAGCCTTGGTGAGACTTCTTTCAAAAACATTGTTTTTGAAAGAATTATAAAAATACTACCAAACCCAAATTTTTGAACTACCTGTTATTTAACGTAATTTTAACCTAGCATGAAAAGTAGAGTTTGGTCCACGTATCTCCCTCCTACCCCTAATTTAATTATTTATTTATTTATTTTGGCCTGTCCCACCTTAGTGATCTTGACTTTGGCTGTCTTCAGTAATTAAAATCATACAAAAATGTAATTTTATATGGCGTATTGAACAGATATTTAGCAGTCAGTGCATTTCAGAATTTAAACGTTATCTGAAAACTTGAGGGGAAAAGCTGACCATGTATTGGATGAAGTGAATGCATGAATGCATTTACGGTCTCCTGGAGTGTGAAAGTCATATCTGTGCTTGAGGTGATGTATTAAAGCTGACAGACCAAACATAGTAACAGTGGAAGACATGGTTGTGTTTTCAACCAGCCAGCGCTTGCACGTGTAAGGTCTTGTGTTACAGGACCCATCCTCCCACATGCCCAAGTAGGAATTCCTCCCCTAGGAAGGCTGTGTTTTGAAAACACTGAGTCTTTGCCAGGAAAATATATATATGGGTGTAATTTCCTGTTCTTTTAGGGTACAAAATTGTGCACCCTCTTTATGAAGCTTGATGTCTTTAATACCACCATCTTCCACCATAGACCGTTTATGTGTCCGTGATTTCCTGAGAAATGGAAACGCACGCAGAGCCGAACCCCCTCAAGGCATCGCTCCATGTGGAGAATGCCTTTTATGTAAGGCTTCTTTAAAAGGTTCCTTTCACGCCGCATGACCAACCACTCAAAAACTGAATTACGTAACTGCAGCTGTATGGAAAATATGAGCTCTGTATTGTTTATGACAGAACTAATGATTGTACAGTTCAGGTGCAAAAAGAGACCTATTTTTACAGCTGCACGCTCAGGATTTAAAGTGTTTTGCACCAGTTTAACAATCGATATCATTAATTTTGTCACTATATCCTGTATTGTTCATCAAAACACACCACACACATGATTTTCACATACTCTCTCTGTCATGCAGTGATTGACCTGGTGCACTGGCGGGACCCTAAGAAGTCAGGCGTGGTGTTTGGCGTGTCGCTGCTGCTGCTGCTTTCTCTGGCAGCATTTAGCGTGATCAGCGTGGTCTCCTACCTGCTGCTGGCCCTGCTCTGTGTCACCATCTCTTTCCGCATCTACAAGTCTGTCATCCAGGCTGTGCAGAAGTCCAACGACGGACACCCCTTCAAGTAAGAGTCATTTTTTGGCCTGCTTGTCTGTGTCATATCAATGGATGTATACTAAAATTTCGGCAATCGAAAATATTCAGCATCAAATGAACTTTCAGTTTTGGACGGAATTGTGATGTTTACTTAATTTTAAATTTCTCAGATTGGCACGTTTTGATTTTTTTTTTTTTTTACTGTTTTTACATGTTCTCTTCATGATTTAATGCATGTTTGAATAAATCTGCCATGAAGATAATATTTTGTTACAGTCACTGTTTACATGTTTATATTTCAACAATGAATTGGAGCATATACATAATTAATTAAAGTTGCTAATAAAAACGGCATTGTGTGCAATTTAAATGTTTATATGCAGCTCAGTTTTTATTTGAGTGTTGATTTATTAAATGTGATTTAATTAATTGACTGTTAAACTTTTTCTTTTGAGTTTTTAATTGAATTAACTAAACTTTAATTTCAGTAAAAAAATGTGGTGCTTCACTCTATATATCTTACTTAATATTATCTTATTATTAATATAATGTTTATTTATTGTAATGAAAATATAATTCATATATTTAATAATTAATTGTTATTATAATTTGCTGTCGGTGCATATTAAGCTGGGTTAGGAGAAAGTATTTTAACCAAAAACTTCACCTTTACACTTCACCTTTAACATTATAGGTCCATTTGGCACTTTAATGTTAGTCTCTGTGTTAGTAAGTGCTGTTTTGAGGGCAGTGGTGCTCAGAGGTGTGTGGGTATGTGGTGGAGCAGGGCTAATTGGGTTGACCCATGTGCCTGTGTGACAGGGCTCTGATGGAGAAAGATGTCACTGTGCCCCCCGAGACCTTCCGCAAGCACGTGGACGTCTGTCTCACCCACGTCAACCGTGTGCTCAAGCAGATGAGCCGCCTCTTTCTGGTCGAGGATCTGGTTGATTCCCTCAAGGTCAGGACCAGCAATTATAAATGCTGTGATTTAAAGTGATAGTTCACCCAAACATTCTTTCAGAATTTATTCACTTATATGTTGTTCAAAACATTTATGACATTCTTCTGTATACAAAAACTGGATATTTTAAAGTACACACAGGTCCTTTGCATACAACGGGTTTATAGTGACTTTTAAGCTCCAAAAATGACAAAAGGCAACAAGGAGCATTTATTTCTTCCTGTATTAGCTGTAAGATTTTTATTTAAACATTGCAGTCACTTCAAAATTCATTAAAATAATTGTGGTCTTAGGCTTTCTGTTCTTTTGTCCCACATTACCTTCTGATTTCAGCTGGCAGTGGTTATGTGGCTGCTGACATATGTTGGAGCAGTCTTCAATGGCATCACTATCCTCATCCTCGGTAGGCCGAATGTGCATCATCACACTTTATTTTTATTTTTTTTGAGGGGAACAAAATTGCTTCGTGTTTAGTTATAGGCTGGCCAATTGAGAGTGAATCTACATAGAGTTTTAGAATGGTTGTAATGACCTCACACTGAATGCTTTCTTTTTCAGCTGACATCCTGCTCTTCAGTGTACCGCCCATCTATGAGAAAAACAAGGTTAGAGTTATATCTTTTAGTTGCAAATCATGCATTGTGTGTTTCAAAAAAGCATTTATTGTGGAGGTCCAAATAAGAGATTATATAACAATAACATCAATAATAATAATAAATATAGCTGCAAGCAGCAATTAAGGGGCCAAGCACTACAGAAGAAAGCAAGGCAGCAAGCATCAGACCAACTGCAGCAATGAGTAATTGAAGCCATTTTAAGATGATTTTTGTCAAAATGGCTGAAAAATCATAAATACAACCAATAGTAAAATGATCTAATGGGTTATTACTTTTGACCAATTGGTGGCGCTGTTATCAAATCGATGTGGTGTGTGACAATGGCACACACAAAGTTTGGTGTCAATATGTCAAAGCTTTGCAGAGATACAGCATCAGTCATTTTGGCATCATGCCTCAACTTTATTGCAGCGCTATACAAAAACGATTTCGTCTATCGACACAAAATTCATAACTTTGCCAAACTGTCTAGGAGTTCGAAAAATTATCATTTTGACCAGTAGGTGGCGCCGTTACCAAATTGATGTGGCGTGGTCAGTGTGAAGTGACAATGGCACATACAAAATTTATTGTCAATATGTCAAAGCTTTTCAGAGATACAGCCTCAGATGCAGTTTGGCATCATTCCAGCAAATTCGTTAATGTGTTAAACGATAACTGTTTCATATATATCGACACGAAATCCATAACTTTTCGATAGGGGTGCTCCGATTTATCGGCTACCGATCATTATCGGCCGATAATCACGTTGGGATGATTGATCGGCGGTCTCTAAAAGGCCGATCTCAAGCTGATGACGCTGCCGTGAGAGGTTTGGCACCACATGCAGCGGCACCGTCTCAGTCTCTGTCCGGCGCGGGTGAAATAATTATAATGCTGAAGGTGAGGTTTTTTCAGCGTTCATGTTAACGGATTAAAGCATTCACACTGCACACGGCAGTGCGTTCAGGAGCGGTGCGTCTGCAGCAGTGCAGAGATCGTTTCTGCACCGAGTCTATTTTTGCTGTGATACACGCGCTGAATTAAAGTGATAGCACATTGTTTGCAGTACATATGAAAACGAAAATGTAGCAATTGCACCATAAATGCATATAATTAAAGTATACTGTCTTTCACAGTCAACACATATGGCTTGTTGGAAAAGTGCACTTTTTTTGATAAAGAAGGCAATAATAGATGGTAGGGTAGAGGTAGGAAAACAAAGTTCTTTATGAACCGCAG